TAAGCCCTAATATAATCCCCTATATAAACCCCCTTTATGGAGTTTAGACTATGGTTCATAGGGTGTCACGTTCTGGGTGATGTCCTCGGTGGTGATGGTGGCCAAGTCTAAGCTTTAGCAGCGGCAGCACCGAACGGTCAACGTCATCCTGGCTGTCCTCATTATGGTAGGGATTATAGGGTATATATTGGGGCTATATTTTATAGGGTATATATTGGGGCTATATTGGGATAATGGAAAAGAGAATGGAAGCTACTATAATGGTTGTCCCGTTGTCGGTTTTGGGGGGCTTTGGCCTGCAGTACCTGAATTTGTATCTCCAAGCTCAGGGTCTGCACATGTAGCAAGAACAGCAAGCACCGGACTTGCCTCAAGAGCATACTGAGCATGACTCTGATGCCAGGAGCTGATGCTTTCCAAGCAGGACAGTTGGCTTTGCCAGAACTGGCCTTCGGAAAGCAAAAAAACAGACCCAGCTGCTCGGCAACTCATATTGCTGCGTAGGGAGGGACCAAACCGTGAGGTGGAGGCAGGAGGTACCTACTGTCGATGGATGAAATCTTGCACCACCTAGGGGCCCTAAACTACTGTAATTCCTAGGGCGTTAAGGACTTAAGCTCCAGCAAGAGTATGCACAATCTTCACAAGCATGAAACTGTTCATTGCTTTGCCTCTGCGAGCATGACAATCAGTTCTATTCAGTGTCAAGGTTCCCTTGTCGTCTTGATAACCTAGCTCAAGAAAGTCATTGTCACAGTGAAGCACAGTTGATGACCTTCAACGCAGAAAGACAGTTCTGTAAGAGCGCTGGCCGCTGCAGGCTAAGGTGGCATCTGCAGGTAAACACGAAGACCTATGTGAACAGTTACACGGCACGCAAAAACAATAAGACGACCACACTGCTGCCACCAACACTTCTGCCAACACGGCCGTTCTGCTGCGGTTATCGCGTTTGTGTGTCTTTGTGGCTCTACATCCCTCTGAGGTCATTAGCCCCGAAATGAACAGGTGCACTTCTACCGGGGCTTTTGCCAGCCCCATCCCGGCGCCACTGGCAATCACCATCATGCCCACCGCACTGGAATTTCTCCTGCCACTCATCCTGCTACAGGTGTTGCTAGGTCTAGTGCTACTCGTTCGCATTCTCTGGCTTGGTTTATGGCTGCAAGGTCATCATTTTGGACGGGATTCGTGGGCCACTGGAGGCAAGGTTGTACAACAACGCTGGATCTTCTGGTGCCATGCATTTTTCCAAAAGCGCTTGCCAGCAGGCTCTTCTCAAAGGAGACATGAGAACTTGCAAGTACTGGCTGGTGTTTTTTGCGCAGTGGCCACTGCCTTAGAGGGAGATGAGCCTGCAGCAGCTGTGCAAGGGGATTTTGGTTCTTCAACCCCCCACGTCAGGATCCCTAAGCCCTAGACCTTGTTATAATGTCCAAATCATTGGGTTGAGGCAACCAAAGCCCCTTCTGAACAACAGTGCTGAGTTTTGCTGCTGTCCAAGCTACAGGTCAAGCGTGGTTGCGCCCATGTTGGTCACTGTGCTGCTTCCAGGGGTGCGAGTCTCAGACCGTCAGAGGTTGCAGGGGTTCTCAACCTCCTAAACCCTGCACCCTGAAGCCAAAATCCTGAGTTCAAAGCTTAATTCATCTAAGCCCCAAACCGCAAAAAACAAATCTTGAACCCGAACCCTGAGACCGAAGCCCTACACCCTAAATTGTAGTTTCCATTTTATTTTCCATTATCCCTATATAACCCCAATAACACCCTAAATCCTACCAAGCCCGACCTAAAGCCAGCGCGTGCTTAGCTTTGGCCGATCCTCCTTGGCCGAGCTGGCCTTTGGCCAAGCTCCATCTCACCTAGCCAGGCAGGGACTACAGGGGTTTAGGATTTAGGGTTTAGGGTTTAGGATTTAGGGTTTAGGATTGAGGGTTAGGGATATATGCTAGTTTACGTAACTAGGGGATATGAATATAGATCCCGTAGTAATGATCCTTATTATAGGCGACCCCCAAAATGTACTCCAAATTTCTCGCAACCTCCATACATGGTTAACTTGGGGTATGTAGGGATTCGGGCCAGGGATATATCATGTACCTCAATAGCTGCAGCAGCCAGTGGGAAAGAACATGGGACATGAAATGAGTTCTAAACCCTAAACCCTAAGCCCTAAACCCTAAGCCCTAAACCTTCAACCCTTAACCTAGCTCACTGGGATGACTACGGACACTATCTGGGCTGTAGGGGTTGTTAGCCTACCCAAACCCTAAACCCTAAACCTATAGTCCCCCTTAAGTAGATAGAACATTGGGTTTTATGGGGTTTATATAGGGATAATGGAAAAGAAAATGGAAATTACTATACTAGAGTACTACGGCCAATCCCAGGAACCTTAAAGAATCGGTGAGCAGGTAGGACTTAGCAGGGTTTACGGTCTGGGCTCCGCTGTTTGGGAGTAAAGGCTGGGATTGTGGCTTGGTGCATAGACCGTGTTTTAGGGTTGGGTGCCTCGAGTTTGAGTTTTTGGGGTGCATTGCTTGAAGTAGGAACCTTTTTCAGGATGTGATGTGCACGGGGGGATCTGATCTTTCAGAGATGCTCAACGAGCGCGCGGTAGTGTTCACGGGAAAAAGGTTTTTTCACGGCCCTTACTTGAGGGGGCCCCGGGTGTGATGTGGAGACCAAAACACTTAAGTAACTGGTTCTTCGTAGGGAGTAAGGAATATAGGGTATAGGTACTACATAGGGATAATAGCACCTGATTCCTTACTAAGAACCAGTAAGTAAACCCAGAAGCTTCCTGTCATTCATGCTACGGGTTTCTCCATCATTCGTTTTGTTGGTTTCCATTATTGGAATAATTGTTGTTGTTGTTGTTGTTGTTGTTGTTGTTGTTGCTGTTGTTGTTGTTGTTACTGGGGTCATCAGTACATCCATGTCCTAAGCCCCAATCCCAAAACCCGAAACCCTCAACCCTAAACCCTAAACCCCAAAATCCTCTCCCTAGAAGCCTGGGCAGGCCGCCTGGCGAGCCATGCTGACGTCGGTGGCAGCCGATCTACTTTCCAATGCGCACTCCTTTGTCCCTGGTCAAATGGCACGGTTTAGGGTTTAGGGTTTGGGGTCCCTTTTGGGGTCCCCATAATAAGGAAGATAATATTTGGGGCTCTAGATTAGGGTCCGGCTTTTCAGGGAAGCTACCAAATTTTGCTTGGTAGATAGCGCTAGTAACGGTAATAGTCATATTTTACAGTACTAATAGTATGGTATCAGCAGGAGCAATAGCAATAGTCACAGTCATGGTAACAATAATACAGACCCTCAGCAGGAAGAATTACAATTAGATTGGGCTTTCTCTAAGCAAGCGCGGCTGCGTAACATGTGTGTTCAACCCCAACATGAAGCATGGCTTGGTAGCGCGTTGCTCATTCGATACCCTTGGGCTGCAACCTATGAATTTGTTCTGCATACTTGGGGGTTGCCTGAAACCAGGGGACCCATTGGGCTAATATTGGGATTATATTGAGATAATGCTATTTAATTTAGTGTTTAGGGATTACGGGAACAACCCAACCCCTAAACATCGGTGTGCTGTCATTCAGACACTGCTGTTCATGTTTGTGCGGTGGCCGAGGTGATCATTACCTGCAATCATTCAGGGGGCGACCTGTACCGATACTCCACGTCTTGCAAGGTTGGGCGGACGGATAAAGCATGATGCCATATAGTGTTGGTTTGTGCACGCGTTGCGACGGTCGTGTACGGTGTCGCCTACCACTTTATGATTTCGAACACGACGACGTCTGCTGCTGCTGTTGCTGCTACTGCTACCACTCCTCCTGCTCTTGCTACTCTAACTATTTTGTTGCGTTGCCATCCCTACCATTATATTAGTTCTATCAGTATCACTATCGTTAGTTCAATGATTAATTAGTTCCATTACCACCAACAAAGGCTACTGTTGCTTCGTCTTGTTGACTCATTCTTTTATTATTATCACTACCATAAAGCCCTGAAACAATCAGCTTCCAAGTTTTTGGGGAACTCTAAACCCGAAATCTTCCCTAAACCCTAAAACCCTAAATGGGCGTTTCCCAAAATTAGGGGTTCCATTTTGGGGTCCCCTTAACAAGATTATATTTTATTGGTGTATATATGCATATATACATAAATAGGTCCCTCTTTTTTGGGAAACTACACAAGATCCTACATCCTAAGCCCTAAATCAGAAACCCTAAACCCTAAATCCTAAACCCTACACCCTAAATGAAATCCCTTAATCCTAAGCCGTGCTGGTCACAGCTGACGCCGCGAGGGGTGCTGGGAAATCGGGCAGGAAGCAACTGCTGAGGGACTGCAAGGGTTTAGGATTTAGGATTTAGTGTCTACAGTTTTAGGATTTAGGGTTTTAGGATTTGGGGTTTTAGGATTTAGGGTTTTAGGATTTGGGGTTGTAGGATTTAGGGTTTTAGGATTTACGGTTTTAGGATTTGGGGTTTAGGGTTTAGGCTTCTTCTTCTTCTGGATTTGTCTACTTCTCCAGAGGCCTAGGTCAGAAAACGCTTAGTCATTGTGTCTGTACTTGTTGCTAACACAGATGTTTCGTAACATACCTACCTAGCCCCAAGCCTTATATCATGATATCAGCCCAGTTGCGACTCTAAGTTCATCTTCTTTTCCATTCAGTTCTCCATTACTGGGGCAACCTCCCCAAAACTCCTATACAATTTTTGTATAACCTTAAATCATCCTTAAACTCTATACCTATCAGGCCAACCCTAAACCCCTAAACCCCTAAACCCTATATGCAGAGGCCTACTCTGCAGAATTTTTCCTGCGCTGCACCTACTCTTCCGCTAATTTCGAGACTGGCAATGACACCGGCTGGCATTCGGGGGTAGGGTTTTGGGGTTTAGGGTTTTTAGGGTTTTTAGGGTTTATGGATCCTGGTACTTAGGGATATTATCCCCCAGCCATGGAGAATCAAATGGAAAAGCAAATGGACAATGACATGGAGGCTAGGATTTTTTCTAGTGGTTTGTATAGATTAGGGCTTCCCATAATTAGGGGTACCACTTTGGTGATCGCCAGAATGAGGGTTATGGTACGTTGGGCTCTATATTGGGGTCCCATTATTTTGCGGAACTACTATTTGGGACGTCTCAAGGAACTTCTTAGGCTGCCAGGTGGATGGATGTTCTGGCCTTTTCGCACGAGTGAGGATCTGTTCCAGTTTGCTGCGTGCAACCGTGGTCTTGGCAGATTGTTGTGATCTCTGACCTGTTACTTGGAGGGTCAGGGGGGTACTTACTAAGTAGGTTAATAACCCCTATAACCCATATAATCACCCTACTTATCCTCGTTATCAACCTACTTCTTAAGTCCCCTGACCCTCCAAGTAGCCCAGGATTTTATCGATACCGTGTACGGTTGGCTCAACTATCAGGCAGCTGGCCTAAATTGGGTTGCGCACGGTCCTGCAAAGTTTCCAGTATGTGGGAGGTTGACAAGTCCTTTTTTGGGGAACCCGCATCTTAAGGGGTTGCAGAAAATTGGGACCCAAAAAGGCATTAACATTTGACGACCTACCAGTTGGAGTCCATCGTAGAGCGAAGTCTGAACCCTAAACGCTAAACGCTAAACCCTAAATTCGAGGTTGTTGGGGTACATGAGAGTGGCGGAGTCGAAAATTTCATGGCATCAAATCAAGGTGCGACTATGCTGGGAGCTGAATCCCTAAACATTGGAGGTGATGGACTTGGTAGTGGAGTTGGAAAATGAAGAACCCAGACCCCTGGGAGGATCTAGCAAGTAGATCCCCTTTAAGGGGTCCTAGGAATTACCCANNAGTAGTATAGGGTACCCTAATGGGGGGTTCTACTTACTAGATCCTCCCAGGGGAAAAACTCATTTTCGTGTTCCTCTCTGAGCCGCTAATTCCTGATAATGTGAGGGCTTTCCGCAAGACGTACTGAGAGAGTGCAAACTAGAAAGAGCATTTGGCTCGGGATGGAGACCTCCCCAAGCTGAGGCTTGCACTAGAAATGTGCGAAGGCGTCCTAAACCCTAAACCCCCCCCCCAGAAAACCCGAGGTTGAGCACCACATGTTCCCGGACATGACCCCGCTGCAGTGCGCATGGCAGGAGTTTGCTTTTCCCTAAGGGTCCAAGTTCCCAATNNCAATAATTAGGTTCCTTTAAAGGGGATATGTAGGGGTATAAAGGGTTATATAGGCGTATATAGCGTTTAGATTTCATGTACCTAATAATTAGGTACTTGGGTTTGGGGTAATAGTAAGTCTAGCACAGGTTTCGGGTAATTTTGTACTTGGACCTTTTTTGTTTCAAGCATTCCACCATGTGCCCCATTGGTTGCCGTAGAAGCCGAAGCTGGAATTATGGTGCCAGGTACCGCAAGCTGCAGCCACTTGTGCAGAGACGCTTGGCTTGTCTTGGTGGAGATGAATCAGTCAGAAGAAGCATTCACTGCTCCTAACTTGCAAGCGCAAGGTATATGCAAGAAGCACAACTTGCAGTATGTCCAGATGAATGCCTTGCGTCGAACGTGGATGATGTTCCAGGTTGCAGCTGCTTGGCTGAACGGTAAATGAAGAGTTGTTTTACCGAATCCCTACCTCCTGACACATTATCCCTATAAACCCCCAATATACCATAGTAGCTTCCATTTTCTTTTCCATTATCCCTATAAACCCCCAATATACCATAGTAGCTTCCATTTTCTTTTCCATTATCGTAAACTGCATACACTTCAACGTCAGACACCTCGGTAGAACCTCACGTCTCTGCGGGGCCGCTGTCGGAGAATTGAGTTTAAGTACCATGAGATGGATATGATGTACATATGGTAGTTTCCCAAAACAAGGGAACCCCAATATATACCCCAAAATACTATAGTCCTTATTAATTATGGGGACCCCCAACATGGTACCCCTAATTTTGGGAAACCCCCATATGTGGTACAGCACGTGACTTTCTTATCATGGTCATCTGAATCAAGTTCCCTCATAGCAATCAGTAATAGTGGTAACAGCTAAATAGTAGTAGTATGGTGATACTAGAAATGCTGCATGACCCTACTATACTATACTATACTAAAGCACCATACTTTCAAGGATGTGAGGTGTTTAGTGTCATGTGAGGTAATATGAACAGTAGTGAAAGCAATACTATTACTACTAATAATGATAATATTGAATATCAAGAATAGCAATAGTACTGCAAGAATTGTAATAATAATTGCGGCCCTCGTTTGACCTGCAAGGTTGGCGATGCCAAGATGAAGCGCTGCACAGTGCCTCGTTCATGACACCATCATAATCCCTTCCTTTCAAGAGTGCCCCTTCTTTATTGTAAATTATGCCTCCCGTGGTAGATTGCAGTGTTTGGAGAATGGTTATACCTGGTTGGGGGTTGTTATTGTTAGGCGCCGCAGAGCAGCATTTTCAGCACCAATGAAACTGAAGAAAACATGCGAACCGTTTGCAATGAGAAGCCTCAGCAGGAATAACGATAGCAGTCTTCTGTCTGCAGCGACATATCAATCTGGCTGTATTCGGGCCCTACACACCCCCACTTCTCATTTCATTGTCCATTTGATTTCCATGATTGCGGTATCATCCTTTAAGCCTTGAAGAACATGAATCCTAAGCCCTAAAGCCTAAACCCTGATCCAAAAGTAACAAACACACCCATTGTTGTTACTAATCATTGTGGAGCCCCTATTTCAGCCTTATATACCTGCAAGAACCCTGTAGTCCGTAGATCTACTATAGCCCCCTACACCCGAAACCCCGATATGGTAGTTTCCCAAAACAAGGGGACCCCAATATAGATCCCAGAATACTATAATCCTTATTACGGGACCCCCCAAAAAGTTACCCACAATTTCGGACAATTTCGGGCAACCCCCCTAAAATCCACACTTGACCGGAGACTTCTTGTCACGAGGCCTTGGTTCCGCCACAGGCTGACGGGAAGACGTTGGAGCGACTCGGAGAGTTGTTTCTGTGCGCTTTGGTGGGTTTAGGGGTTTAGTCTAGGGTTCCAGAAGAGGTTTAAGGTTTGGGTTTGGTATTAGCTGTTTTAGCTGTCGTTGGGCTTGCAGGCATGTCTTCGTTCAATCTGGCGGTGCGTGGGATTCACGTCTAATTGAAACCCTAAATCCTAAACCTCATCACATCTATGGATGGCCACTCTGAGGCCCCGTGAACCCCAAAACCCAAAACCCTAATTGTTGGAAGAGAAAGTTGTGCTTGTGCTGAGGTCTGCTGGCTTGACCCTGAGTTTCTTGCGAAGTTTGGGTCTGGCTGGGTGGCTCTTAAATGAAGTTACCATGATGGGTTTTATATACATATATAGCATACACGGTATATACATATATATATATATCGTTATTCTCGAAGATATATATGTGTATAAATATGTATTTTAATACCAAAGTGGGTATACATAGTAATTAGTATGGTTCCCCCACTATAGTCACGCAACTTAAAACCAGGTTCCTTGACCGCAGCCCAGCTGGGTCCTCCTTTCTCTTCGTCTAGTTTGGGATACTTTGATCCTTTTCTGTTCATCAGGAAGATCCCAGTCAGCTCATGGGCTCATCTTGTTTTTCTGAAGCTGGGGAGCATGCTGTCTACTGAACATTGATTCCGTTGTTCCAGTGAGCAATACGAATCATCTTGGACGACTGAGATGCCACGGATGACATCAGCTCTGAGCACTGACCACTTGGTGTGTGATGTGGGCAAATTTTAGTTAGGCTGGGCTCGGTCCATAGCCCAGAATCCTGTGCTCTGCAAGTGATGGTGATTTTCCTTGCAGGAGATGTTAGTGCTAGCTGATTTCAGCTGGTTATGTCCGAACGGCAACTAGATTGCTTGCTGCCTGCAGCAAAGTCTGCTTGCTGGGCTCAATACTCTGCAATTACAAACGGCTGGCCCATACAGAACAGCTTGTGCCGTTAAGTTTCTTTCTGCGCCATTGAACCCAGCCATATCTGGATGTTGTGAGGACGTATCCTCGCCCAGTTTGGTTGTCCGATTCTGCTTAACAAGCAGTCGTGCGCAGACACCAGATGCCGCATGGATGGGAAGCTATGCGTGGGCTGCTTTCCACCACCTTGTGACCTTGGAACCCCGCATCATGAGGATGCGAAGGACGCCAATGCGACAGGTTTTGCTGGCTTTTCAGTCTGATCTGCAGTAGTGGGCGCCGGATTGGTGCAAAGCAATTTGCCTGCACAGCGTCGTTTGGATGGATGCAGGCGACAATTCCAGCCAAAACAAAAGGACGAAGAAGGAGAAGCCATGTTTGTCATTGAATTGCTCCCCTAAACCTCAAGATAAACCAAGGAGCTACCCTGCACAGGGCCCTGTGCTAGACGGCATTGAGACTTTGTAACTGTTATTCCCCAGACACCTTGACTGTCAGGGCTCTTGATCTTACTGGTGGTTAGTAGTGAATGAGGGAATGTAATCCCTAAATGAGCTACTGTCCATATTCTCCTTATGAAGGGACCCTTGGCAGGGGACATAGGGGCCACTCTTGTAGTCGGGCATAGCCCCTACTATAGTACCTCATAAGGAACCCATGTCCATTAAATTAGGTCGGAAATATGGAGTGTAGGGAAATGGGAACTGTAATTCCACCCGTCACAGTTTGGGGTTTTCGGTCAGTTGGAAAGAACTCGCACTTTTGGCTGCTGCTCACCCCAGCTTCCTGATGTCTATAGCACGCCAAGCCATTTCCAGTGCAAGCCGCGTGCTTCCATCACGTGCTTCTGGATGGCTTCTTGCAATTAGGCTCGGAAACATCTTTGCCAGGAGGCTGATGTGTCGTGTTGCAGCAGATGCTTGCATCAGGTGTCGATGACTTTAGAACAGAAATTCCAAGAGGCCTGCAGGCTCTGCTTGAGCCGGGGGGCATGCTCATACTGTGAGGCCAATGCGTTTTGGTTTTGAAGTGGCGGAATATGACAGCAATGAAGCACTCTAGCATAATTTAGTTTTGCCGTATAAGGGTAAGTATTATACTTTAGGAGAACCCCCTACTCTGTAATAGCGGTATGATAGGCATATAAGACGACCCGAATATGATCCTTATCATCCCCTATAGTCACTATTACTGGGTGGCGGAGGTCCCCTAAAAATCGTAAACCTTATAAGCCTAAAGTCACTATTACTGGGTGTTGGGGCTTTAATGTCATGTCCGCAGGCTGTGGGCACGGTGTTCCAGAGATGGACAACGCTGGCCCTGGCGATGGATCAAGGCGCAGAGTGTCAACTCATCAAGAAAACAATAATCATAACATGAATAACAACAATAACTGATAATCACAATACGAGCAATAATATTAAGAATAACAATAACTAATAAGAACAAAACAACAATATTGATACTTCTAATCACAATTCTTGTCATCAATGCTTAGCATCAACACAGTCCTTGCGGATTCGAAAGGAAGGGATAGAGATGCTTTGAGAGCAAAAGCTAGCTGTCTGGCTAGGTGCTGCTTGTTCTGGATGGTTTAGGGTTTAGGGTTTTGCTTTGGCGCTTTGGGCCGTTCTTGTCATGATGTGTCTTTCTGAAAACCGGCAATTCGTCAACGGATTCATGTGTCGGGTTGACTACACAACTTCTATGATAATAATCCTCCAGATAAAGAAACAAAAGCCTCTCAAACTCTGCAGAAATGCCTCGGGCTACCCAGAATTCGAATGACAGTAACCTTTGGTTCGCTCCACTGCGCAATGCCCACATGTGGGCGCCCCATGTTTTCCTTTGTAACACAAACACCACGGACAGGGGTTGGATACCTCTGTCCACACCTTGAATCGGTTCTAGTGCCACAGAGGCATATGAGCTATAGTCTAAACTCCCTAAAGGGGATTACACAGGGGATTCTATAAGGGACTACTATAGGGATTATTAAGGGGGATACCAAGAGTTTAGACAAGGGCTCATATCAACAGCTTTGCAAACCCTGCAAGAAGGCATCAGACCATTCTTTGAAAACCACGCAAGACCTTGCACAAAACTCCAATGTAAGACCGTTCTATACAACCTATGCAGCCTCACACGGCAGGTGAGTAGCATAGAGGTGAGGTTTGGGGGTGAATTGGCAAGAACACATGGGTGGGTATCAGCATTGGACACGGCTTTGGGTTCCAGAATTTATTGTGTGCTTGAAGTTTCCTTTGAGTTTTTGCCATCCATTCCTACACAGTGCGGTCTTCTTAATGGAAGCCGCCTCTGGGGGGATCCTCGGAGCATCATCAGTTCCATTTTCTCTGAAGAGGCCTTGGGTCAAGTGCTGACGGAATTGCAGAGGCTGAAGGTGCAGCATTCTTGGAGGGTCAGAGGGACTTAATAAGTAGGTTAATAACCCCCATAACCCATATGGTAACGCCAGTTATCACCATTATTAACCTACTTCTTAAGTCCCCCTGACCCTCCGAGTTCCACCAAAAACCCAGGCCCGGACGTGGCTTCTGCACGGCTTTGACTGATTGACTAACCTTCAATGGCCTGGCTAAAGAAAATTGCAGCACCAATGTGAGTTTGAATAAGGTTTGGGGTTTAGGGTCCTCATTGGTGCCCTAACCTCAAGCAAAGCAACCGCTCCTGCGAGGGCGAGCATGGGTTCTTGAGTGCCTGTAGCACCATAGCAGCCAAGGGAAGCTGCGCCTGGCGGATTCCTCCCAGTCAGCTGGCAGCAGCATTGCCTTAATCTTCCCAGGGCCGTGCGAGCTGGACGCACCCGAAACTCTAAACCCCAAACCCTTTACCCGCTTCATTCGAAAAGATGCCATGGATTAAGAGTGCCTTGATTGATCTGAAGGATTTTCGAAAGCCTTCTTGCTCTCGGCTGACACAGGATGTTTTTCGTCGTGCAGACGTGAAAGAGCCGTAGAAAGAAAAAACCTACACCTAAACCACCCCTTAATAAAACACACGCCTTTGTGACAAAGAGTGCGAAGGTTGGGGTGGCCGAGACTCGCATGCAAAAGGCAGGCAGCTTCAGGCCGGGCGCTCAAATTTCCAGCAGAGGGTTTTGGGGTTTACAGTTGTGCAGAGGGAGCCCGATACCACCCTTGATTACGGAGTACACTTTGAAACTAATCAGGATCCCTGACAGGCATGATTCGAGGAATATTTCTTGTGTTGTAGGGCCCTGAGGAGAAATACGGGGGGGGTATTTCCAGACATGAACCGTAATCTAAACTCCTTCAAGGGGGTTATGTACGGGACTACTATGTTTCCATTTCATTTCCCATGTTCTGTTCCATTTGATTCTCCATTATCAAGGGGGGGTACGAGGATCTTAGACTATAGGTCACATGTGGGTCTATCGCAGCTGCAGGCTCCTTATCCCCTTTCAAGCACAAGCCTTGCAGAATCTCCGCAATGCAAGCCATTCAGCCCTAGAGCCTAGGGTTTAGGGTTTAGTGCTTAGGGAGACCCTTAAACCCCAAGCCCTCAACCCCTAAACCTTTCACCCTTAAACCCTACATTTAAGACCGAGTTGAGGCCGAAGCGATTGAGTATCTTGTCCAGGGCTCCAAGTGACGGCCTCTGCTGTGTTGGGAGAGTGCTTATACATGTTGATGTATGTATAGGGTTTAGGGTGTATGGTGGTTATATAGGGCTGTATAATCGCTATATACGGTTATGTAAGGATTCATAGAGTCTATGCTGTCCCAAAAAGAGGGGTACCTTTTTGGGGGTCCCTATGGCCAAGATTATTGTATTCTGGGGTCAATATAATATATCCATATACTTGTAATACATGATTTGGGTCAATCCCCCCTACAGTAATAGCTCCTGAATGTGGAATGAATATGGCCTTAGTATACATCCAATTTGCTGAGTGGGGGATCGACCCAATATGTTATATGAGTTTGCTCCCTCTCAGGAAGAAGCGCCCTCCAAGCTGGGAAAACCCTGGCGACGTGGAGGCGGCATTGCCTTCGAAACATAGGGATTTGAAAGAAAAACGCCCCCCCCCTCCCCCCCAACCGTAAACGCTAAACTCTAAACCCTGAACCCTATACACTGAACTCCAAACCCTAAACAGGACTTTGCACATTTCCTCTACCTTCGAATTGACGAGTTGTTCAACACGGAGAGCGATGATGGAAGCCCCGCAGAGGTCGCAGGTTTGTGTGGGAAGCTTACTGCACAGCTGGACCTGCAACCCCCGCATTGGATTCTTCCTTTGGGGGTTTCTCAAAATGAGTCCTATAAAATCCCAAAAAGCTATGCCCCTAGATTCCCTAATCATCGCCACGTACCCCTGGAGCAGGGCCGCTTTTCTTGAGACAGTCCAGTCAGGTTTGCGCTTATTCAATACCTGTCGGGCTGGTGACGCATCTTTTGCAGACCAGGTCCTCCAGGCGCAACCTTGCGGGATCATGGGGCTTGCAGTAAAGGAAAACAGTTGGAATGTAGTCCCCCTTAAATAGATAGAATATTGGGTAGATGGAGATCTTAGTATAATATGCCAAAACCCTATAATCTACTGAAGGGGGACTATAACCCTAAACCCTGAACCCCATACTCTATCTACTTAAGGGGGACTATAACCCTCAACCCTATGTTCTATCTACTTAAGGGGGACTACATATGTTCATGGTTTTTAGGGTTGGAATATAGGTGTGGAAGCAGCAAACCCTAAACCCTAAACTCCAAGTAGCAAAACTGTGTTTGTCTTCTTCTCCGTCTTGAGGCAGGGGATGCTGACGTTCTCACTCTCTGGTTTAGGGTTTTAGGGTTTCAGGGGTTTAGGGTTAGGGTTTTAGGGTTTAGGGTTTCAGGGTTTAGGGGTTTAGGGTTTAGGGTTTTAGGGTTTAGGGCTTCCATTTAAACGCTTTCTGACAGTTGTTCTTCAGCCAGAAATTTGGGTGCCCCACGTCTTCATGGAGGTATGCATATATAGAAATAAATAGGGCTTCCCCAATGTAGCAACTAAAGCTCAATTCCTTAAATCCTCATATTCCCCCTAGTTTCCATGTCATGTTCCATGTTCTTTTCCATTTGATTCTCCATTATAGGGGGATAATATAGTGGCTTTCATTAAGTTCCTAAACCCCTAAACCTTAAACCCAAACCCTCAACCCCTTAACTCAAACCCTAAGCCCCTAAACCCTTTATTGGGTATGTCTTGCATCCTTGGAGGCTTGTCGATCCCAAGCGCCACAAGAGCTGTCAAAAAGTCAAGGATCCGAGCGCCTGGATCTCGGTTTGGGGTTTAGGGTGTTGGGTTTAGGGCTTAGGGTTGAGGGTCAAGGATCCGAACGCATGGATCTTGGTTGGCGGTTGCTGGCTTCTGTAGCTTTCGACCTTTCTGCCGGAGTTCAAGAGCTAAGTTGTTGTGGATGCAAGGCATTGAGTATGCCACGGAAGAAGATGAGCTGATGGATAAGATGGAGGGCATTGACATAGAGGCGCCAGGATCTTGTATGATTCGGACACAACAGTATTCTGGTGCTCAGGGATGTGAAGGAGATCCAGACGATCTCTCAGACTGCGAGGATTTAAAGGCAAGCCATGTCTAGGCAGAGCCATCTTGTAGTCTTTGCAGCAGTGCCCGTAGCGCAGGACGCCGAAGGCGGCATGCCAGCCGACACTCAAAGTGCGTGCCCTCCTTACCACGTGAGCTTCCACCACTGGTCTTGTTTGCTTTCTCGCAGAGCCAGGCAGGCAGGCTACCCGACCACCAAGCCGAAAGATGTAGAGCCTATCGTTGACGAAGATGGCTTTACTGCCGTCGTCAAAGGACGGCGGAGGCCACGCTAGAAGCGGAGGCCACGCTAGAAGCGCGAAAAGGCAAGCCGTGCGCAGCTCTGCTAGCTTCCTGCTCCCTGCTGTCTTGTTTGCTTTCTCTTTCGTTGGTGCGCCTGCTTCAATGCCCTTCGTCCAGCGTAGCTACTAAATTGAGGTAGATCTATGCAGTCGTGGTCTCTGCAGCTCTGTTGAAGGTGCCATAACAGCACGCAAAGTCATAGCACGAGGGCCGCGCAAGTGTGGGGAACCATCTGTAAGGCCTCGGGGTCAATAGAGTTTAGGGTTAGGGTTTAGGGTTTCCCCGATAATTGAGAATCACATGGACAAGATATTGGAAAATCAATGGAAACTTGGCTTAAAGTTAGCTACAACCATGGGCTAGCTTAACCAAAGTGGCAGGAAATGAGACCATGATTCTGGACCACCGGTTTTCCGGGTGGGTTTGAGAGACAACTTCGTAGTGCCTTGACATGTCGCATCGCCAATGCCTGGATGGTCAGCGGGAGCCTGAAGCCTGCGCATGACTGTTTAGGGCATAGGATTTTCGAGGAACCCTACATGGGTTTAGAGTTTAGGGCCTACAGGGGTTTAAGGCGGGTCCCCAGGGACCCCAGATATGTGTAGGGGCCGCTAACAGGGAGCCTGTGTATTTGGCAATTGTCTTCTGATTTCGTATGGAGGCTCCTAAAAAATGTTGGGCTGTAGAATACGGCCTCGATATGTAAGGTACGCCAAAAGACCATAATGTTAACTATCGCAAGATCATCCTTAAACCCTAAACCACCAAACCCCTAAACCCTAAACCCCACCCCAAATCCTGAACCCTAAACCTCTAACCCTCTACTCACCTCTAGACCTCTAAACCTTAAATCATAAGTCATAATTCATACACGCCAGCGATCTGCTCAATGCTGGCTGTCCGAGGCTCGTGACTTCCTAGACCCTCCTTCCACCTTTCTATCATGCCTCAACTACTCTTGTAGTAATAGAAATAATCGCAATAGTACTAGCAATAGTGATAGTAATAGTATACTGAAATGGGGGTAGATGGTCCCCGACATTGGGTATTTAGGGTCTATAGAATAGAGGTTACTGTAAGAGTTGGTATCGTAAATCCTGAACCCTGAACGCCTGAACGTGAAACACTGGTACAAGGAGGCTTCTGGTTGTTTGAAGCTCCTGTTGCTGGCTGCTGCCTGGCTTCAGCTCGCAGAAGACGGGTGATTTTTAGCCGGGTAAGGGATAGGCGCCCCAGGAAGCAATGCCTCCCGGAAGCACGGCTAACAAGTCCTACAGTGTGTATTCCAAATGCAAGTAGTAGAAACAGAGCTTAGATACCTAGCTGCCATTTCTACTCTTGGGTCTAACAGATCCTCCTGTCATGGCAGCCTCGCCACGCACAACATGTGGCAACCCTCCTGGACATCTCCAGACGTGCAAGGCCTGTCCGGCGTGCTAGGATGGCGGTCTTTAGAACTTGCTGTGGCGAGCTCGTGCCGCCGTCGCCCACAGTGTCACCTGGACACCTAGCAAATGCTGGCACAAAGTCATCTGCTGCTACCATTTTTTGGACCCCGAAGTGGTGCCTGTGCTCTGAGCCAGTTGATGAAATTGCTCACCAGGATATCTCCAAAGAATACGCGTGTTCGGAGCCTTCAACATGCAAGGCGCAGCGAAGGGCTGTTGAGCCCGGCGACTTCCGAACAGAGCAGTCTTACCACACAGCCAATACCTCGAAGAGCAAGCCGAGGGTAAATACCTGTCAGTCCAGGCGCAGTTCTGAGTCCTTGAACGTCCTGGCACTGTTCCTGGGTTGCTGTTGAGAAACTTAATTTAAGTTACTATCTTGGGGAACTACCCTATTATTTTCTGTATATATAATACATCTACCTTGGGTCATTCCCCCACCCAGTAACTGTCCTTCAAGGGGCCTTATTAAGGGGCTATTATAACTCCTATTACCCCTTGTGGTAACTGTTACTGTAAAGGGGAATGACCCAATATCTACCCATTATGGTAACTTAACAGCAACCCAGGTTCGAGCATGCTGGAGAATGGTGGCTACCGCATGAAAGTGCTTGCGTGGAAGACTGCGACTTGCTGCAGGATTCTTGGCTCGGCAGGCTGCCTAAGAAGAGCTACTGGGTTGCTGTTAGGGAATTTAAAATAAGTTTAGGGTTTAGGGTCTAGGGTTTAGGGTAGTTACCATAATATGGGTATATAGGAAATCATAGGGTTACTAAGGAGGGAACTTAAGTTAAGTTACTGTACCATAATATGGGTATATAGTAAATAAGGTTTAGGGTTTTCTAAGCTTTCCTTGCTGCCGTAACTTAATTCAAGTTCCTTATTAACAGCAGCCCAGGCTACCGCAACATGAGCACCACCGGCTTGCTCAAGACTGGGATGAGCGGATGGGTGCGTCGTCGGGTCTCCGGAAGCAGGCACCGCTTTGTGGAGAACGGCTTTGATCTAGACCTGGCCTATGTGACCTCTCGAGTCACTGGATTGCTGTTGAGGAACTTAGATTAAGTTACCATAACAGGTGCATATATATGTATATATCTGCATATATATATATATGAGTAATGAATATCGTTTTCCCTATACAGTAACTTGAATCAAGTTCCTTAACAGCAACCCAGGTCATTGCCATGGGATTCCCAGGCCAGGGCTCAGGGGCATGTTTCCGGAATCCCCATGGAGAAGTCAAGCGGTTTTTGGAGGGAGCACATGGTGGTCACTACCGGATTTACAACCTTTGCGCTGAGAAACATTTCAGGGACAATGGCTTTCCGGATGAGACTACGTCCTTTCCTGCTGCGGACCACTGCCCGCCAAACTTCTCCGACATGCTCCAACTCTGTAAGGATGTGGAGACCTGGATGCAGGAGGATGAGCAGAATGTCGCGGTGATCCATTGCAAGGCTGGTAAGGGCCGGAGTGGCACTATGATTTGTGCCCGGGTTGCTTTTAGGGATCGTAAACTAGAACAAGCTGATCAGGAGCCCCTTTTATTTACAATACGCCCATCTTATGGTAACTTAAGTAAAGTTCCTTCACAGCAACCCAGGTGCTCTCTTGCTGTACGCGGGGGCTGTCACTTCTGCGCGGGATGCCCTGCGTTGGTTTGGCCGCATACGCGGGGGTACCCGGGTAGGTGTGACAATACCCTCCCAGGTCAGATGGATAGCAATGTTTGAGATATGGTTACATGGCTCAGTGCAGCTGACCAGCACCCCAATGAAGGCAGCCGATTCAAAATACCCTAAGCCCCGAAACCCTAAGTCCTAACACCTAGAACCTAAACTCTAAACCCCAAACAGCAAACCCTCAACCTCAAACCCTAAACCCTGAACCCGGAACCCTGAAGGCAGCAGACTTGAGATACCGGCTAAAAGCTTTACGTATCGGGCCCTTGAGCTCGAACATGCTTCCTGGCCCTTGCTTCTTGCAGATAGGTGGGGTGGCTTTCCCAAAAAAAGTTTAAGGTATAGGGTTTTCGGATTTGGGGTTTTCGGATTTAGGGCTTTCGGATACCTTTAAAGGGTTGGGGATATTTAGGGCTTGAGAGCTTAGCGTTTAGGGATTAGGGCTCAGGGTTTCCCAGAATTAGGATTACATAGGAGATTATTATACCTGAAGAATGGAAAATACATTGGAAAAGAACATGGAACGTAAAATTGAAGGTGGGATGAGAAGGTATTTATAGGGATTAATCAAGGTTTCCTAAACTTAAGGGCCAGGATTCTGGTATTTTGGAACCTGTATTGGGGCCCCCCCGGTTGTGGGAGACTATAATGCCAGGACTTGGACCTTAAACCCAAAACCCTTAAAAAAAAATTACATAGTACCTAGTAGTTCCCGTGTGACCCTCCAAGTACCAGGTCTTGGTAGCCGCTCAGCTTTTGAGGGCTTCAAGTGGGTGCATTGGCATCCAACCTTTCGGGCGACCGTGTCCCAAAACGGAATCCGGGTTGCTGTTAAGGAACTTAATTGAAGTTACTATATAGGGGAAACCCTAGTATTTACTCTCTATATATATATATATCTATATCTATACCCACTATGGTGACCTATTTGAAGTTCCTTAACAGCAACCCAGGAATTTGCGAGTGCACGCTGCTGGCAGCACCTTGGTGGAGTGAGGCAGATGGCCTCGTCCCTGGATCATCGTTAGGGATCCTTTGAACTGCTTTTCTGCAGCATGGGCTTCCTTATATGTGGTAGTTTCCCAAAATAGGGGGACCTAATATAGACCCGAAATACCATAATCCTTTTACAGGGACCCCCAAAAGGGTACTGTGGGGAAACCCCCATATAAAGACAAGAGGCTCCTTTTGTAGGGAACCTGGTCTCAGGTATGCGTTCGGCTGAAGACGTCGAAGTCCTGTTTCGGAGCTCTTGCGGCCCGAAAGCAAAGCATTCGGGCCTGGTGGCACCACTCCTTCCTTCAGCGAAGGCCCAATGAGGCAAACATGGAGGAGCTCGTGTTAGACTTGCCAAAGACGTGCATTGATGGATTGCAACGAGATGCTGTTCATCATGTGGTTGCGCCGTCTGAGTTTAGGCTGACTTTGACTTTTGAAATGGATGAATGATTGAATAACAAAGACAGCTCGGCCAATTACTCCAAGAGTAAGGCTCGCACTGTCTAGAAATAATTGCGCAGCTACAGAGGCTGCCAATGGGCGCATGCAGTGTCCAGCGCTTCTCTGTACAGGCCTGCTTTTCTCCCCCTTAGCTGAACTCGTGATGAGTTCTTGAGGGCACGCCCTGCAGAAGGTGTTTGAGCTAAGAGTGCATGTGCTGAGGTCAAGGAATACGCGCAGAGCTGTCCCAGATATGTGCCTGATGGCTGGCTGAGCCAGACAGAGGAATGGCTGCCACAAGCCCAGCCTAGACTGAACGTGCAAAAGCCACCTGCATCCCGATATAAAGGCTTGTTTGACAAGGACACTCTTGACACACCAGACGAAGAAGAGACAGCAGAAGATGAAACCCTAAGGCCTAAACACTTGTCCGTAGTTTAGTATTCTGCTCGCTTCGCTTGCTTTTCCGTGCGTGCGCAACCTTTAAAAATGTGTGTGTGTGTATATATGCATACATATATACACACAGATATTTGTCCGCGTGTATACTGCACGTGTATTAAACCATGTAGGTATATCGTGCATATTATGTAGATGCATGTGCCTGTGTATATGTATGTATGTATGTATGTATGTATACATACATACATACATACATACACATACATACATACATACATACATATACATACATACATATACATACATACATACATACATACATACATACATATGTATGTATATGTATGTGTGTGTGCATATGTATGTACATGTCATGTATGTAGATATATGTATATACACATCCGCATGATGCTCAGCCAACTTTGGTCAGCAGATGCTTGGATGTTTGAAGACCCGGAGGGTCCAATAACCCTTGAATAAGGAATATGCCTTCAATGATACTAGGATCCCTAACATGACGTAAGGTGTATTCCCAATGTGACTTAAGGTATACCCTAAACCCTAAACCCTCTAGCCCCCAATCCTAAGCCCTGGGGACAGGATGCAGGGCTGGCAGCAGTGGTGGGTCCTTGCGCCCGCGCGGGAGCTGGATCCGGTGGTTCCCGTCGCTGTGGCTGGAAGGCCATAGAAACCACTGTAGGGTTATATCGGGTTGCATCAGGTTATTTAGGGTTAAATAGGGTTGTAAATGGATGTACAGGGTTAATTATATAGGGGTATATAATATGAGGATAAAGGAAAAGAGAATGGAAAGTACTACCGTATAATGGCTAATCCCTGACCTAGAGTCATAGGGCGCACCTCAAAATGTGGACAGCTAGCCCTCAGAGCTTGATGCATACTGCATACGTGTGCATCGAGGCCATTCCTTCGCAGGCCGTCTCAATACGCTGCCAGCGCATACTTCCGAAGGCATGCGCGGATTGAATGAGGTTGGTGTCGTGCATCGGCTGGTGCCCCGCAGGAAATTTGCTGCGCTGTTCCGGGACTCATCCCCGAAATGCTTCTCGCAGCGCAGACCCAAGCTGGCGAGGCAGCCTGAGCTGATGAGTTGATGGCAAGTTCAAGTTGTTCGACTGGAAGCCATCCCCCACCACCCTAATAGACACCCCTAGTATAGTACCATTGTGTAATAATACCACTAAGATAATACCCATTACACACTAAGACCCTTATGATAGTATCATTACATAGCACTACCCCCCAATGAAGTACCAGTACATAATTTGGAGGAGTATTTATCATCAGTGGGTGGCTGCCCTAAACCCTCAACTCTAAGAACCTATACTCTGAACCCGCGAATAAAAGAAACAGATCTGACGCATTGGCTGATGTGAACTTTTCTCCGCTCCGGGATCCGTAGTCGTGATGTAAATTCCTGGACTTCTCCCTAAGGGTCCAAGGAC